CAGGACCCTGGGCCATGGAATGCCACCACCCACATGTCTAGTGCCTCAGTCTGCCAAGGAATGGGCAGGCAGTGGGGCTAGAAGAGAAAAGTAAACCACAGGTGAGGTCAGTCTCACCTCAATACAGTCTAGAAACTCCTTCACATGCCCAAACATTTGTTACTGTGGTGATTCTAAATCCACTGAGTTGGTAATCATTGACCATAACAACACTCAAAGGCAAATGAAAAGTGGGTCTGATGTGCATCCAAGAAGACAATATGAGTTCCAGCATCACCCATGGGCACAGAAAATTTACCAAAGTTTCTTCAACATGACTTCCTTTTTATTTATGTGCCGTTGCTTCTTATGGTCTTCTGAAACACTGAGTCAGCATTTCTGCATTTTACTTCCTTCTAGAATTGATTAGTTTCATAAAAACTGCTTTTTGGAAGTCATGGTCACAGGACATGGTCAGGAACCTCTGTAGAGCTGAATGAACATCTCTTGGGTTTCCAGAAAGACTGAGGGACACGATCACAGTCTGAGTGACACAGGCAATGGGAGATAAGGGGTTGATAGTCACTCTGTCTTAGTGACTTTTCTTATTTCTGTGATAAGCCTCTGATAACAGCTACTTACAGGAGAAACTTCATTTCAGCTCATAATTCTAGGTTGTGATCCTTCAAGTGAAGGAAGTCACAGCAGCCTGAAGAAGATGGTCATGTTGTATCTGTACTCAGGAAGTAAGAGTTGAAGCAGGGGCTGGAGAGATGACTCAGTGGTTAAGAGCACCATCTGCTCTTCCAAAGGACCTGGGTTCAATTCCCAGCACCCACATGGCAGCTCACAACTGTCTGTAACTCCAGTTCCAAGGGATCTGACACCTTCACACTAATGCACATAAAATAAAATAATTATTAAAAAAAAAAAAAGAGTTGAGAGCAACAACTGCTTGTGCTCAGCTCACCTCTGTCTTCTTGCCTTAAAATTAGTCCAGGATCTGAGGGGATGGTGCCACCCACAGTGGGTCAGCCTCCCCGCTTCAGTTACCCTGACTGAGAGACTCCTCCAGACATGCCCAGAGGCCATCTCCTAGGAGATTCTAAATCTCATCAAACTGACCATTGAGATTAACCATACTATGTCATCACTTTGAGACAGTTTTGTTGGGGTTTTGCTATTGGTTTTTTTTTCCAATATTTATTCATGTGTATGAGTTTTGCCCACATGTATGTCTATGTGCCTCATTCTGTGCATGGTTCCCTCAATGGTCAGAAGAGGGCATTGCATCACCTGGAACTCGAGTTATAGATGGTTGTGAATCACCATGTGGGTGCTGGAAACCAAACCTGGTCCTCCACTAAGTGCTCTTAACTACTGAGCCTCTGCTCCAGTCCCCTTATTGTTTTGAGACAAAACCTCACTGTGTAGCCTGCTTCAGCCTCCCAAATAGTGGGATTAAAGGCATAGGCCACCACACTAAGCAACAATGTTTTTAACCATCTCTGAACATTTATAGGAACTTCAAATAGTTTCCATAGTACTCATTCCTTTAAAAAGTCTTCAGAACTGGATATGTTTTAATCCCAGCTCTCAGGAGGCAGAGGCAGGTGAAGTTCTATATGAGTTCGTTCGGGGGCAGCCAAGGCTACATAGAACCTGTCTCAAAACACACACACAACTTCAAAAGCCAAGTGTGGTAGCATACTCCTTTAATCCCAGCACTCCAGAGGCAGAGGCAGGTGGATCTCTGAATTCAGGGCCAGCCTGGTCTACAGAGTGGGTTTTTTTTTTTAAGATTTATTTATTAATTATATCACATTCTGCCTGCATGTGTGTCTGTGCACCAGATCTCATTATAGATGATTGTGAACCCCATGTGGTTGCTGGGAATTGAACTCAGGACCTTTGGAAGAACAGCCAGTGTTCTTAACCTCTGAGCCATCTCTCCAGCCCCCAGCGTGAGTTTTTTAAAAAAAAGTGTGTTAGTGATTTTTCTTTCCTTCTCATCTCCCCCACCCCCACATTGTTTTAAAGCATGCAGAAAGGTGTTTAGGTCTGGATGAACAAGCTATATGATGTATACCCATAAAATACGGCTGCTTCAGTACACATGGAGGCTAGCCATCCTCTCAGGGACAGGCAGGGGAAAGCTGCCAGCAGAGGGCTTTCATGCGGATTGTAGCAGCCAAAATGCTTTTAGGAAAATTTTCCTAGTTTCCTTTCCATACATGATGAAATACTCCGATTAAAAGCAGTTTAGGAGATGGGATCTTTCTGGCTTACTCTTCAGAGTCACAATCCATCATTAAAGGAGGTCAGGGCAGGAACTCTTAGAAACCTTGGAGGAATGCTGCTTGTTGGCTCACTTGCTTTGTGGTTTACTCATTGGCTCATGCAGTTTGGAGGAATATCAAAGAAAGGAGCTTCTGAGACAGTAGTCTAGCCTGTCCTTCCATGTTCATTCCCTTCCGGACCAGTAAGGGCCAACCTCTTTCAGATGGCTGCTCTACCTCCATGCCTAGTTCTTCCAGGGAACCCAGGAGACAAGGCTCTGCTCCCCACGACCTGATCCAGTTCCCATGGGTCCAAGAGCAAGTCCTGTGGGACAGCCACTGCGTTTCTTCTGTTATATGCCCAAAACAGTGGCTCGACTGGAATAGTGTCAGGGTATGCAGAACTTGTTGGTTAGGATATAAGAGTGGGGGAAGCCTCAATGTGGGCAAGCCTGCAGCCAAGCCCTTCACTGCTTGTCTAGGACTGAAGAGAAAGGGCTGCTGGATAGGATGACACACCCCTGTAAACCACCAATTGGAATGTAGTGACAAGACGGTCTCCAGATTTTGTTTTTCCAGATAGTGTTTCTCTGTGTAACAGTCCTGGCTGTCCTGGAATTCACTCTGTAGATTTGACTGACTTTGAACCTTGAGAAGGGAAGGAAGGGAACTCAGAATACTGGCCAGGGCTCACATCACCCCTCTACTGTGGCCAGCTACTCACATTTCCTCCAGCAAACCAGGGCCAAGGATGCCCTGGGTCCTGGAAATCCTAGCTCGGTGGCCCTTAGCCATCTTGGCCTCAGAAGGTTAGCAACAGACTGGAATAAGAAATGCTAGGACTCTCAAAAGAAAGGGGTCCTGAGATTGTTACAATCCTTCTTAAAGTTTTTTGCTATCTTCAAAATGCTAAAAGCCAGGATGGTTGGCTTTCAGAGCACAACAGCTGATACTACAGTTGATTATAAAAATCCATAATATTTAGCAACAAATTTTATCAAAGCATCTGAGTAAACCATGCTTTTTAGATTTAATATAAAACGTGTTAAAGCTTATAAGCATGCCAAATTAAATTATTTTGAACATTAGGGGGAAAGCATGGGAGAGGCTGTTAGCCCAACTTGTTCTGTCCTCACCCTACCAGGCATGGTGGGGTCACCAGGTCTCTAGGTTGTCAGTGCTGGACACAAAGCTCTGGATTTGAGGCCTCCGGAAGCCTCTCTAAATCACAGACTCCTCTAAAATTACAGATGTGCTGCCTGATTGACCAGCACTACCCCATTGAAGAGCCGCAAGGGCCCTTTCTCTAAAGAACAGGCTGAAGCCCTCAGGTTAATCTTAGTTGCTAACTTGATTGAATTTAGAATTAACCAAGAGGCAGGCCTCTGGGCACACCTGTGAGGGATTTCTGTGATTATGTTAAGTGAAGTGGGAAGGACCCCCTAAATGAAATCAGCACTTTCCAGTGGCTGCCCAGGTGGTCCAGCCTTCCTTCCAACTTGTGCTGCAGATTAGGAATCCTCCAAGTTTTCAGCACCAAATTGACTACAAAGCATTCAGTTTCTTTCGGGTTTTTTTGTTTGTTTGTTTGTTTGAGACAGGGGTTCTCTGTGTAGCCTTCGCTGTCCTGGACTCATTTTGTAGATCAGGCTGGCCTTGAATTCAGAGATCCGCCTGCCTCTGCCTCCCGCAGTGCTGGGATTACAGGCCACTGAGCCAAACCAAATAATCTTAAAACCAACAAGAGTACCACACCGGACTGGACCTGCTAACCACAGCACCCCAAATGAACTGATGCCTCTGGGGAGCAGGCACCTCTTCCTGGCTGTCCTGTGTCAGCTCCTTGGACCCTACTCCCGGGAGTAGGGTCCAATATGCATATTGGCCACTTTCCTGTCTTTCACTGCAATATGTAATCCAAATCTAAGTCACCTTTGTTCCTTCCTCCTAAAGATCTGTTCCTTTCTTCCTTGCTGCCTCAAACCTGTCTAGATAACCGCAGGGACTGTGTGCGTATCCTTTCCTTCCACGTATAACCGCAGAGCAATGAACGTGCCAGGCAGAGTGGGAGGCGGGGGACACCACGGAGAGCGCTACTCTGCAGCCTCGTGCAAGGACCAGGACCGCTGTGTCCTTGAAATGAAGGCAGTTACCCTCGCCCAGGCTGGCGTCCCTTTTCTCCTCCCAGCGAGCCTGAACGCCTTTGCTGTTCCCTCTGCCCCACCCTTTTCCAGAAAAGTCACCTTGGAGAAGCCTCCCCTACTGCACCCTGTCTTCAACATTTCCTCAAATTCCTTCCTTTCGTTCTGGCCTCACTGGCCTCCCACCGCCCCCAGTAGACTGAATCCCACCAAGCACAGAGACCGCGTCTACACGCTCACCACTGTGCTACAAGCATCCACCATCTGAACCATCCTGCCACTAGAGAACAGCCCGGCTTTGCTTTGACCCTCAGCGCCTCAACAGGGCGCCATAGCCTTAGGCCCTAAAGGCGTCAGAGGCAGTAGGGAAGCAACTCGAGTAGCTCCAAACGCACAGATCCTCTAGGTGCCGAAGGGCGCAGCCCCCGACGCGCAAAACGAGTCCCAGCAAGCTTAGCCTAGCCCCGACTCGGGAAAAAAAAGTAAACGAGACAACACTTCTACAAACAGTCGCTGGCCGCTAAGTCTCCGCCTCTCGCGGCCATTGGTTGAGACGCTGTACGTCATCGCTGCGCGACAGCCGCGTCTTCCCGCTTTTCAACTCTGACGACAGAGTTGCGCCGGCGTCCGGGTGTGAGAAGAGCGGGAGGTGGTGGCAGCCTCGGGAAGATGTAAGTTGGGGAAGGAATCCGGCCGCATCCGACCTTCGGGGACCTTCTGCCAGACTAGGTGGGGAGCATCGTGGATCCGGTTGCGTTCCGCAGCCCTGTAGTGTGGTGGAGGCCCGCCTGCGAGGCGCAGAGCCCGAAGAAAGAGAGAGTGGTTCAGGTCGGGCCGAGTGGGAGGCGTCGAGGCCGCGGCCCGGAAGTGGTCGAGGCGGTCGCGGACGGAAGGGCGATCCCGCGTCGCTCGCTTGGCGGCCACCCGTTTAGCCTGCAGGACTCCAGCAGCTACGAGCGTCGCCTCTTGCTTTCTTGTCTGGCTGGAGACCTAGACTCGCCACGCCGGGCTCTACCTGAGTAGTGAGTGGAGAAAGGGGTGGGGAGGCGAGGTCGATGTTTGGAGCAGATTGTGAGCCCTTTTCGATCTCTTTCCACGAGTGTTTATCGAACTCCTGTGTGCGCTTCTCAGTCCGGCCCAGCGTGGACTGAGGACGGTTACCGAGCTCAAAGGGAGAGTATGGGAAGGTTACGGTTGATTGTAGAGAGAAGTGTAGGCTTTCTTTTTCTAACTTGTGTATTTCGTAGGCTGTGTCTCAAATGTGCTTTTATATGTAGAGTGCTTTGAAGATTGCCGAAACGCCCTCTGCTCGAGATTTAACTAATTGTTTTCTCCTCTCTCTGGCTGTTGGACGCACACCTTTCCGGAGGATGGGAGAGGTTGACCATGGTCCTGAGCTGTTACCTGAACTTGTGTGAACAGAGAACCTCACCTTTGCTTTCTAGCACTCGACCACACCCAGCAAAGTGTTCGATTACTCTTTGGTTTATAATTTATAGACTGTTTAAAAATACCGGGTTCTGCTTGTTTCATAAAGTACATTCTGACAGGTTGTGGTGGGGGTGCACAGGGCAGTCTCTCTCTTCCTGGTAGTTATGGAACGAGTGGGTAGCAACCCAAACTAAAGTATGTAACCAGATTTAAATGACTTGGTACAGAAAGCTGTTCTTTGCACTCGGAGCCTCCTGCCTCCGCCGCCTAAGTGCCAAGATTAAAGGCGTGCACACTCCTCCTTTTTCAGGCTGAGGTTCGTTCCCCAGCACTACAAAGGAAGAGGTCACCAATTTTTTCGTGATGTAGCTGCAAGGAAATTGAGGGGTTCATGGTTCACACTCTTACTGGACAGCGATCTCACCCGAAAGTGGGGCGAGCTGTTAATGGGCTTTATTAAGCATTCAGAAAGAGTGTAACAAATGAGGTGACAGTTTGTGTGCGTATAGTTTCCAGATGTGAAGAAATAACTCCTCAAATTTCATTTATCAGTGAGCTCAGTGCCTTGACAGATTTATAGATTGATTTAGCTAAGGCTTTTGGGAACTAATTGTCAGGAAAGGTGAAGCTCTAGAAATAGCTCAGTTAGTAGTTTTCTTTTGCCCCATTGTGCATGAAGCCCTGGTTTCAATCTCCAGCCCCACATATAAAGCCAATAATCACAGGTGGGGACAGGAAAATCAAAAGTCCTCTCCTACATAGCCCAGAGGCCAGCCTGGGATAGAGTCCTATCTTTAATAAATAATTTTTTAATCCCTACATTCAAGAGGAGGCAGGGCTCTGTTGTAGTCCAGCCTGGCCTACCTAGGGAGTTCCAGGACAGCCAGGCTTATGCAATAGAGAGATCCTGTCTCAAAACAATAAATAAATATATAAAAGAATGAGTGCCAAGTGCCATGGCTAAGGTGACACCAGACCATGAGTTACTGATGTTCCCTATTGTGTGTTATAGTATGTTTTTTTTGGGGGGGGGGGGCGGCGGGAGCTTGAAAAGATTTTATGGCCCTGGAAAGGAGCTATATAGGTAATCATTTGCCATCTTCTTTTGTCAAAAGCCAGTGCTCTTCTCTCGGGCTAAATGTCTACTCAGTGCCATTTAGGAGTGCCCCTGTCTCTGAAATCAGAACCACTGAAGTGGTGTGTTCTTTCTTGGTTACAGTTGAGGAAGGTGAGAAAGGAGAGTTCAGATGTATCATGATGCTGTTGCTTGTATTTTGCTCCCTGAGAAGGGGGCATGGAAAGAATTAGTGGTTTCTCTTTGAGTTATTGTTAAACCCAAACCCTTAACGGCCCATTCCAAAAGTTTCAGGATGCAGAAAAAAATAGTTGTGACTACCGTACTGCTGCCTAGATCCAACAAGTCATATTTGCTGCTTATTTGCTTTATAATTTACCTACCTGACAATCTTTTTCTTGCTCCCCCCCCCCCCCAAGACAGGGGTATCTTTGTGTGGCTTTGCCTGTCCTAGAACTGGCTTTATATCAGCCTGCCCTGCCTTCCAAATGCTGGGATTAAAGGTGTCCACCCCATGCCTTGCTTTGGGTCCCATTTTAATGCTCTTCTGTGGTGTTGTCCATTTGTGTTGAGTAATGTTTTGGTGCTTGTCACTCTCAAAATGATATCTAGTCATCACTCAGTGTATCCCCAAAGAAAATTACGGCAATAAGATAAATCTGAGCCTGTTAGTTGATCTACAAATTGAGTTTTTCTCCTGAAGCCTTTTTGGTATTTTGCAAGCCATCTACAGGTGGCTCATCAGACTTGCTACCGTAGTGTGGTGCAGGCTCTAAAATAACAATGATAGGCACAGTTACCACCCCATCTCATTAAGGAAAGTGCAGAATCAATGCTCCTGTACCTTAGAGGTGTAATAAATTTTATATTTTTCTAATTAAAAAGAGATAAACTAAGGTGGCCTCATGGAGGTAGAAAAATCCTCCATGAGGAAATGAGGGTTGTCCCCTGTTGTACAGGCTGTGGACTCTTGCTTCCTTCTTGTGTGCTCAACTTTTTGTTGCAAAATAGATTTGATGCTTTGTCAATTCGTTTACTCTATTTAAATCCTTTTATCTTGTTACTAGGCTGCTCTTTGGCGTAAATTGCAATCGATTAGGGATCGTTTCTCAGACTCAAGTTAGAAGTGAGAGTTCAGATAAGTGAGGCCGACATTGCTGCTTTGAACACCTCAGAAGGGGAGAATGGATTTATCAGGAGTGAAAAAGAAGAGCTTGCTAGGAGTCAAAGAAAATAATAAAAAGTCCAGCACTAGGTAATCCTCTGTAAGATTTTTCTAGTGCTATTTTGGGGGTGCTTGCTATTTAGGGACCCTCAGAGAAGGGATATTTTTGTGTTCCACAGTGAGCGTCCTAATTCACAGATCATTTTGCTCTGTGATGACCTGGGAGTTTTGTAAGAATCCTTTTGGACCCCACTACTGGGTTGTGCTATCTCCGGGTTTGGTTAGGGGAGCTTGCAACCTCACCTTCTTCCTCACCATGCAGGGCTCCTTCTCCCACCAAACGCAAGGACCGCTCTGACGAGAAGTCCAAGGATCGCTCTAAGGATAAAGGGGCCACTAAAGAGTCGAGTGAGAAGGATCGTGGCAGGGATAAGACCCGGAAGAGACGCAGTGCTTCAAGTGGGAGCAGCAGTACCAGGTGGGGCAGAGAGCACGGCTGCAACCGTGTGTCTTCCTTTACTGTGAATGAAGCCCGCTGGGGCTTCTCTCTTGGGGTTTCTCTCTTCTCTTGTGGGGGTTGACACGTGTGTTCAGCCTTGGGTGTTAAGTTGCTTCTTGTAAGGATGTCCTGCCGTCAAGCTAAGGCTCATTTAGATGACTGAGGAGTGTTACTAGGCTTACAGTGCAGGGGTTAGGGCACTGGCAGGAGTATGCATAACCCCCCTGTGTTGTGTAGATGGAGTTCCTTCTCATAATCCACTGCTTAAAGCCTTTGTTTGCCTGAGACCTGAGGCCGTGCGCAGTTAGGGCAGAATAGCATACTACAGTTATAGGGGTCACTGGGTATCCCAGTGAGGATCTCTTGGCCCTCTCCCTTCTTCCAAGAGAGACAAGCCCAGCTGTGATGATCTTTTGAGCAGGCCAGTTGAACTGAGAATGACAGCAGTTTGGCTGTACAACAGGTGTCATTCCCTAGGAGCTGTCCACCTTGTTTTTTGAGGTGAGGTTTCATTGGTACTTAGGGTTTGCCAAATAAATTGAGCTGGTTGGCCAAGGGAAGTCTATATAGTTTTTCTTGACTGCTTTGAAAACAACCAGACCCTAGAGTTGTTGATAAGATCCTAAGTTACGACATTCTGGTTTTGAGTTTCATCTCATTATATATGATATATGATCTTGCTGTATAGTTTGCGATGTTTATGGGTATGAACTTTTATGGTACTAAGAAATGGGATGTTTAGAGGATGTATGAGTTGAAGGCTTTGGTCTAGAGCCTTTCTCTCTCTTTCGTATAAGACTTTCGGCTGCATGTATATATAAAACGGTGTGCCTGGCTCCCACAGAGACCAGCAAAGGACATTGTGACCGCTGAAACTGGAGTCACAGGCAATTGTGAGCTGCCATTTGGGTGCTGGAACCAAGCCTGGGCCCTCTGAAAGTGCTGTTACCTGTTGAGCCTGTCTGCAGCCCTGTGACGGCTGAGGCGGTGAACTGACTTGCTAGACTCCTCCTTTTCCCCATTGTAAAGTCAAGGGTTCTGTGTAGGTGACAGCTGCCTGTGTTTCCTGTCACCACGCAATGCATGTCATTGCTGATGAAAGCGATGAGGCTGAAAGAACCAGAAGTGCTGTGTCCTCTACTGGGCAGTCTTCTGTGGAGAAGGGTGACTCTTGCTCATTGACTCTGTGACGCTGCCACCTTGTCCTCAGGTCTCGGTCCAGCTCAACCTCCAGCTCAGGCTCCAGCACCAGCACAGGCTCAAGCAGTGGCTCTAGCTCATCCTCTGCATCCAGCCGCTCGGGAAGTTCGAGCACCTCCCGAAGCTCCAGTTCTAGCAGCTCCTCTGGCTCCCCAAGCCCTTCTCGGCGTCGGCATGACAACAGGCGGCGTTCCCGCTCCAAGTGAGTCCAGATTAGCCTGCTCATAACCATAGTTATTAGAAAAGTAGATTAGGAGCTGATAAGATGGCTTGGCAGTAAAGGTGTTTGCTGCCAAGCTTATGACAACCTGAGTTCAATCCCCAGGACCCATGTGGTGGCATGTGATAACTCCCACTGATTGATGCACTGTAGCACACAAGTACATAAGTAGATGTGGTTTTTATTTAATTATCAAAGTGAAGTGTAGCTGTGCATGCCCAGAATCCTAGCACTCAGTGTTTGTAGCAGGGTGGTCAGAAATTTGAGGCCATGCTGGGCTGCGTGTGAACTTGCCTCAAAGAGATAAATAAGGACTGGAGAGATGGCTTAGAGGTTAAGAGCAGTGGTTGTTCTTCCAAAGATCCTGAGTTCAATTCCCAGTACCTGCATGGTAGCGCGTAACTATCAATAATGAGGTCTGGTGCCGTCTTCTGGCCTGCCTGCAGGTACATATGCAGGCAGAATACTGTATACATAATAAATAAAAAGATGAATAAACAAGAGTTCAAAGGCATTAGGGGGTGGACAGGATGTCTCAGTAAGAGCGCCTGCTGCCAAGCCCATCAACCAGAGTGCCCATCCTTCGAATACACATGGTAGACTCTGGCACACGCCTATAATACCAGCATTCTGGTAGGCAGAGGCAGACCAGTCTCTGTGAGTTCAAGCCCAGCTTGGTCTACAAAGTGAGTCCAGGACAGCCATGGCTACACAGAGAAACCCTGTCTTAAAGGGGGGGAAAAGATACTGAGAAGGAGCAACTCACACAAGTTGTCCTCTGACTCAGTGTGTGTTGCCCAGATACATGCCGACACAGAGTAAAGTAAAATGCACACATCTGTGAAGGGGCTCTTAGTTTGGTTTCTGAATCAGGGATCGTGTCTTAGTGTTGCTGTGAAAAGACAATATGACCAAGACAATTCTTACAAAGAAGAGCATTTCATTGGGGGTGGCTTACAGTTTCAGAGGTTTAGTCCATTCTCGTGGCGGGAGGATGGTGGCACACAGGCAGGTGTAGTAGCTGAGAGCATGTAGAAATCCTATTCAAAGGCAGCAGGAGGAGCGAGACACTGGGTCTGTCATGGGCTTTTGAAACGAGCTCACGTCCTGTGGCACACTTCTTCCAACAAGACCGTATCTTTAATGCTTTTCAAATAGTGCCATTCTCTGATCACTAAGCATTTAAATATATGAGCCTATGTGGCCATTATGGTTAATATAGGAGAATTGATAACAGACTTTTCTAGAAGCTGTGGAAGCTAAGAAGAAACCTTGCTGTTTGTTGCTGGGGCAGAATCTCACTAGGCAATGCAGGTGTATCCTCTTGTATCCTCCTGCCTTGGCCTCCTGGGTGCTGGGATGTTAGTTTGTCATATACCACTACACCCAGCTGATAGTTTTCCTTTTTCAGTGCTGGGGCCAAATCCTGGACCTTCCCATGAACTCTCCACCCCTAAACTCACTATACTCTGAGTAAATTGAAATTTTCTGGGTGTTTTTGTTATCTTAGATCCAAGCCCCCTAAAAGAGATGAAAAGGAAAGGAAAAGGCGAAGCCCTTCACCTAAACCCACCAAAGTACATATTGGGAGGCTCACCAGGAATGTGACCAAGGTAAGAACCGCAGGTCCGCAGAGGTTAGGGGTTGGTAGTTGACAAGCTGGTGTCTGTCAGCAGGTACACCTAGAACGTAGTTCTTGTGAGAACTGTGGTCCGTGACTTGACTGGAACACTGCTTACTTAATGGACTTAATTATTACACTTATAATATCCAGGAGACTTTGGCCCCACTGACATGTACTGTCAGGGGGCAGAATGTTTTATACTATTAAAGATTTACTGGGCACTTAGTGAATTCTCTTTGACCATTAAGTAGTAGATGGGTAAGCAGGGATGTGACTTCTTTCTCTCTCTAGGATCATATCATGGAAATATTTTCTACTTATGGGAAAATTAAAATGATTGACATGCCTGTAGAAAGGATGCATCCTCATCTATCCAAAGGTTATGCATATGTGGAATTTGAGAATCCAGATGAAGCGGAGAAGGCATTGAAACACATGGATGGAGGTGAGTGATACCGTGACCTCTCAGCCCTGTCACCTCTATCCTCAAAGAGATCTGATTTCCTACCCCAAGTGTATCTGTGTCTCGCTGGAGCCCTTTGTACATTTTGGTTCTTACTCAGTGGGGGTGTATTTACCAAAAGCAGTTTTTATGAAGCATTCACTATTCTTGAAAAGAAAAATCCAAGTATGAATATATTAGTGTTTTAAGAAATTTTCAATCTGTTAAAACCCTGTGGATCAAATGACGCTTTCCTTACAAAGAACATATTTGGCTTTTACACAGGATCTTTTCTAAGTGTCCTTTTTAATTTGCCAACATTCCAGCATTTTCAGGATTGCTTTGCTGATGATACACACAATGTGTCTATCAAGACTTTAATGGTGTGTTTTGAAGCACAAGCACTTAGGAATAGTTTTTGGTGGCCAGTTTCCATTTTGTCTTCAGATCTGCTTTTTAGGGAATGCAGAATGTGTGTTTCACGCTAGGATATGCGCAGCCAAGACTAAGTCGGCAGTGCACAGATTGATGTCTGGGCATTCAATCTGTTGGGGGGACCTTAGAGTCCTCAGAAGCCTGTTGCACTTTACAAATATCTTAACAGTTTTTAGTTGAGGTTTTATTGTTGCTTTTTGTTGTGGTGGTTTTTGTTTTTCAAGACAGGGTTTCTCTCTGTAGCCTTGGCTGTCCTGTAGACCAGGCTGTCCTGAAGCTCACAAAGATCCGCCTATCTCTGTCTCCCTGAGTGCTGGGATTACAGATGTGAGCCACCACATCTAGCTTTGTTGTTATTTCTTGTTTGTGGTTGTAAGCCTAGCCTTTAATGGCTGAGCCATCTCTCCAGCCTTCTTGTTACTTTTTAATGATTGCTTTTGAGTATGGATATTCTTTGATTCTTAGCAGTTCAGGGTACTAGAGACTTCTAGAGTGACCTTCACTGGCCACTAGCTAGATGGCGCACTGTTTTGTTGTGTTCCGTTGGTGCAGTGACTTTCTTTATTGCAGTTGGTTCAACTGTGGGCCAGAATCTGGCTTAGGCTGTGGTTAAGTTAAAACATCTGGAATATAAATGAGTACCTGAATTAGCCTCTGGGTACTCTCAAGGTAGGAGCTGTGTTCTTTGTTGACACGGCTAGGTTTGGGCTCTAGGGACCAATCTTAGATGTATAGATATCTAGCTGTCCGGATATTTTTCTCTCTCTGAAACCTTGTAAGTTCTTGGGGTTTGTGTCCTGTGGTGCTGTATCTACTTTTGAAATTGTTTCTAAACCCTTTGTTTGGAAATCAGTTCATGTAGATGGCTGCAGAAGTCTTCAAACAAGTGTCCCTTTTCTTTAGCCCAGCCTGAGTTTCCTCCTATCCTTAAAAGGGAAATTCAGAGCCGTGTATGGTAGCACATGCCTTTAATCCCAGCACTTTGGAGGCAGAGGCAAGTAGATTTGTGAGTTTGAGGTTGGTCTGGTCTACATAGTAAGTTCCAGGACAGTCAGGGCTATGTAGGGAGATCCTGTCTCAAAAAAAAAAAAAAAAAAAAAACAGAACAGCTCAGCTTCTGATGTGACCTTCCTGTCCCTGCCAAGGGCCTCCATTCTGCCTTTAAGCCCTGTGATATCTTGTCGTTGTACCATGGCTGGTCCTTCTCCCTGGTAGCTATCAACACAGTCTTCAGAGTTTCGTGTGGGCTGTCTGTCTTGTGGGAAGTTGTTCCAGTGTCTTCAGTTAGTGTCTCTTTTAGATCTCATGGCCTATAGTGGGTTTTTCTTGTGGTGATTCTGGAGTTATCTTATTGTCTACCTTGATTTGCTGAGCACCTGGCTTTGTGCTTGCCTAGGGTGTGTGGGGATTTTGTTTTGTTTTTGATACAGGGTCTCCTTATATACCCCTAGCCGGTATGACCTGGACCTTGCTATATAGACCAGGCTGGCTACAAATTCTCAGAGATCTGTTTGTTCTGTCTCTGCTTCTCAGATGCTGGGACTGAAGGTGTGGGCCTCCATACCTGGCCTGTTTTATCTTGGGGCAGTATATCACTATGTTGCCTACACTAATTAATAGCTCTCCACCTTCTCTTGAACGCTGGAGTTCCACAGATAGACGTTAAGTTTTTAATATTAGAAAATTTATGGTTTTGTCCTTTTTTTAATACAGGACAAATTGATGGCCAGGAGATCACTGCTACTGCTGTGTTGGCACCATGGCCTCGGCCACCCCCTCGGCGATTCAGCCCACCCAGGAGAATGCTCCCACCACCTCCCATGTGGCGCAGATCACCCCCACGGATGAGGAGGAGGTGAGTCAATTTAGAATTGTCCTTAACCCATCTCTCTTCTTTGTATAATTTATAAACCTGAATGGCTGTGATGGCTTTGTGTTCTTTGGGGCTGAATGTAGAAAGCAGGTTAGTATGTAACACTTGGGAACTGCTCAGAGAAAGGACAGTCAAAGTATTTGTTATTGATAGACAGATGAGGCCCTCTGAAGGAACCACTTCTAGAGTCTGAACTGGCATGGGTCCCATGAGACTGTCTGTGCTTCATAATGAGGGGCCAGGCAGGATGGCACATGCCTTTACTCCCAGTAGAGAGGCAGAGGCAGGTGGATGGATCTCTGAGTTTAAGGCCAGCCTGGTACAGAACCAGTTTCAGGACAGCCAAGGTGGTTAGACAGAGAAAAAGATTACAGGAGTGGCTAGGAGAGGAGCTTTGGGGTCAGACATAACAGAAGCCACAGTTTATAAGATTGTAAACAAAAAACAGGATCGTCTTAGAGAAGGCCAGTTTGTCCCGCAGATGTTGCTGTTGGCTGACCTGGTTTTTCTTCCTGCAGATCTCGCTCCCCAAGACGCAGGTCACCTGTTCGTAGGAGGTCTCGATCTCCTGGCCGCCGCCGCCACAGGAGCCGCTCCAGCTCCAACTCCTCTCGATAAGCAGGAGTGCTGATGCCCACCTCAGTAACTTAATGTCCCGGCTCAGTTCTGTCCTTTCTCTAGCCAAATGAGGATCTGTAGGGAAGGATCCCTTACCAGGGGAGACTTGGAAAACAACGATTTCTATATTTCCTCTGCAGGAGGATTCTGGCTGCAGAGATACTGTTGGTTTGGGACTGTGCCCATAAAGGTACCCTGTAGTTTTCTGGCTAGAAAGTTCGCCCCTTCCACTTATTGAGTCCATTTGGTAGCAGAGCCAACTGGGACAAACAAGCCCTCCGTATAGCAGCACACCGGTTTCCACGGATGACTTAGAACCAGTCAGACAACCTGGTCACGCCCTTGCTGCTGCTGTGCCACACATGCCGACATCTGCCGAAAGGACCAAGCTGCTGTTGTGTGGGGCCTGACCATGTTTCCTGCTGAGTACACATCACTCCTAGGGTCAGCCCTTTTAAGGGTTCCTCCATAGAGTTTGTCCTTTCCGTCCCCGAATCTCTGTTCCTCTATAAAGTTGGCGAGCCAGTTCTACAGGGTCCTCGCGGAACCCACCCACCCATTATTACCTGCTAGTCACAGTGATGCTGCAGGTTAGCTTTGGCAATGTGAACATTGCCTCTTCTTGCTTTTATTGTACAGTCAGTACTATAAAATTTGTTTTGAGTTTTATAACTTTGTAGCATTTTAGAGAAGGTTGTGTTTGTACTTGTGTAGAGTGAAAGGACTGTGTTGAATAAATTTAGAATTAGAATGCAAATTGACTGGTTTCACTGCCTCTTCTTCGTTCACAACAGTCAAAATTTGTGGTCCCCCCCAACTAAGAACTCTCTTTAGGCTTAATTCCCAGTGTGCCATTTCTAAAAGCTCTCAAACATCTCAGGGCTTGTGTGTTTTGGCCAAGATCAGGCCTGTTGTTGCCTGAACCTTCAGCTATTGTGTTGGGAAGATGTCTCATACTGGTTCTGAGCTGGTGGTGGTGTCCAGTTTCTGATTCCATACTTGGGCACCACAGAAGAAAAGTCTTTGCCAAGAAGGAAGACTTAGAAACATTTAAAATGGGAGAATAAACGTTGAGATTGCCTCCCACCGCAATACCTATGCCACACAGGCCGCAGCTTTTATTTGTGTCCTTTTCAGTATTTATATAAATAAAAGCCACTCTTGAGGGCATGTAACCCTAGTGGACCTTCCGGGCCCTTCCCCTGTACGGGCAAAGCATGTCTGTTCACTGCCCTGCGGTCATTCTGCCAGCCTTAATTTATGTTCCTCTCCCAGCTCTGCGTTGCCTTGCTTGAGACCTGGAAGCTTTTTCTCCAGCTTGTAGCTGGCTGGAACCGAGCAAATGCACCCCTCCCCGTCCCCGCACGGGCCCCGCCCCAGCACGAGTTTACTTACTACCTACTCAGCCGCTGGCCGCTGGGAGCCTGTCGGGTGTGGGATGGGGAGCGCCCTCAACTAAACTGGCTCGGGGGCTGTGGAGTGGCTGGCTGGCCCTGACCTTGTGGGGCGGGGCCCAGCTCCGAGGAGGAGTCTGCAACGCCTGGCCGGGAGCGGCGCGGCTCGCCGCTCGGTTCTGTCGTCCCCGCCGTCAGCCAAGATGGCGCTGGCCGCCGCGAGTCGTGTTCTGCTGCGGGCGGGTGGGTGGCCAGGGCGGGAGAGCTGGTGCGCGGCCTCGCCAAGGGCTGGGTGCGCGGGCGGCGGTGGCGAGAGTCTGGGCGAGCTTGCTAACGTGCTCCGGGCTGTCCGCAGGGTCCCGCCTCGGGCGCAGGGAGGCCGTGGACGGCGCGCGGCGCTTCGCCAACCAGCGGGTGCAGGTGGACGCGGAGGGCGCGGCGGGTGAGTGGCGGCCGGGTGGTGAGGTCCCCGCACCGGTACCCCTCACCGATTCCCCGCTCCGAATCAATGGCCTCCGTCTCCAGGCCCACGAGTTCCGTGTGGAGTCGGGCTCCTGTTGAGACGTCTCAAAAAAACCCCACACGAAAACGATTGAAGTATTTTAAAATATTTTCCTAATACTGGCGTGTGACAGACCTCAGCAACTGTTTTCCTGCTTAAAGCTGGTTGCTGCAAGTAGGGTCACTTGCTGCCTCCCTCAGAACACCTCCCCTCACAAGGCTGAGGCAGGAGGATGAAGCTGAGATGAGCCTGAGCTACATACTGAGCCTTTTTTTTTTTTTTTCTTGTGCTTTGTTTTGTTTTTTAAAGTGAGGACGCTGGGAGGAAAAGGTGGAATTTTCCAGGACAAATAATGTATTTGTGAAAGAAAAACCTAGAAGAGGACACACAGCTGGGCCCAGAGTTTAGGATCACATTCTAACCCTCACCCCGTCCTCTCAACACTAAAGAGCTGGCCCCCTGGGGGGTGGGAGGAGCATCCTAGGAAGGCTTAGAGGTCAAAGTCTGGGTCCTCCGTGTACTAGCGCTGCCAGAATGGAGTGGGAGGGGGCTTGGGCGCAAACCGGATGAGTCCAACAACAGGTGGAGATGTTGAAAGAATCATTTCTGTGACAGATTTTAATATATTTCATATACCACAGAAACAGACATTTAAAAATATTAGCAGACTATTAAAGAGAGGTACCCTAATGGTAGAACATTTGCCTAACATGTTCCAAGCTTTGGGTTTAATCCCAGGACCAAATCAATAAATAAAAATTCTAGAATGGGTAGAGGTAACACTTTATACCATGCCTAAGTCACCTAAAGGTGACTAGTTAGGCTTAATAATTTATATTTTATCACAACTTTAGTATAAATAAGTAGTATGAGCTGGCCAGTGGTGACACATTCCTTTAATCCCAGTACTCAGAGAGTTAGAGGCAGGTGGATCTTCAGAGTTCGAGGCCAGCCTGATCTACAAAGTGAGTTCCAGGACAGCCATGGCTGTACAGAGAATCTGTCGAAAAAAAAAAAAAAAAAAAAAAAAAAACTTGTATAAATTCTGGTTCTGTTAAAACGTAAGTTCACACCAGGTGGTTTCAGTAACAAAACGTGTGAGTTTTAAAGTTTATTACCTAAACTATTAGTAAAAAGGAGAAGGTAAAATAGCAACTGGCTTTATTTGTGTATTTTGGTTTGATAGAGTATTACCTCTATTTCAAAGGCAAAATGGAAAAGTCCATATGTCCCTTTAGCTGATGGGGTTGTTTGAGAAAGAATTTCAATTTTCCAGGGAGGCCCGGAATTCATTGTGAGACTGTCACTGAGACTGACCTTGAACTTAAAACCCATCTGCTACCTCCCAAGTGCTGCGATTATGTGTATAAATTTTTTGGGCTGCCTGTATGTTTGTGCAGTACCTGTGGAGGCCAAAAAGGGTGTTAAATCCCCTGGAATTGGAGTCACAGACACTTGTGAGCTGCCCTGTGGGTGCTGGGAACCAAACCAAGGTCACCCAGAAAAACAGCCAGTGTTCCTAACCACTAAGCTATCTGTCCAGCTCCCTCTAGCTCACGTTTTTAAGTCCCCAGCACGTAAACACCCTAAAGTCTGTGAACATTACTAGCACAGAAAATAGTTGATACAGGGTCTTTGGCAAAAGTTCATCTTGTATAAAGATGGGTTCTTTGTCCTGTTCACCATTCCTCGTGTTGCCCAGCAGGCACTTCAGAGTGGCATACTTCTCAGATGGCTTGTGCCCAAAGTCAAGGGCGTGTATGTTTGATTTTAGAATCTGCTCAACTCATCATTCAAGAAGATTTTATCCGATGCGAACCCTGCTCTAGGGATTTGGCCACTTATCCCACGGCGACCCAAGTTTATCTAAACTCTTTTGCTCATGTTCACCTTTCACCTCATTATCTTTTCCCTAGTGTCCATTGTCATACCAGACTTTCAGATATTTTTTTTCCAACTAAACTCGAGGTGTGTTTGTTTTGTGCTTGCCTGTTACTGGGCAACAGTTACTTCTTCCGCTTAAATCAAAGGTCTTAAAAGAACCCAGTTGGCACCAAAACTTGGCCCGTATTCTCAGAGATGGGTTTTCTTTGGCACCTCAGTCCTCAGCTGAGGAAATGCCTCTTGATGATTTTAGAAGCCCTTTAGGCAGTACCAGATGATCCATAGGCAGCTGCAGTTAGTGGGTTAGTGGCTGCTGGTGCCTCTGGCGACAGGCCCTCGTTTTTGTCCTGACGCTGTAAACAGAATGCATGAGGAGCTGAGGACAGTGGGAGGGCACTGGACTGCAGCACGCTCGGCCGCAGTGCTGAGCGTGAGCTGAGCCCCAACTAGAAACCTCTGGGTCTGACATATCTGTTGCCTCTTCCTTGAGAGACTTGGGACTTGCTAGTACAGAAGAACAAGAGGAATTGCACAAACTGGTGAGTGAAGACAGGAAAGATGCAAGACAGGCAGAGGAGAACAGTCAGCAGAGCCCTGCCCACTGTCCTCTTGCAAGACATCAAAGTCATGGCACAGATCCATCGCAGCTGCCAACTCCTCAGTGTCCTTGAGGCTTGGAGCAGGGTGCAGTCTGCTCAAGAGTGGGAATGGCAAGCAGCTGCAGTGCTGTCGGGTTTGGGGTTGTCCGGGGAAACCTTTGCTTCTGGCTAGAGGTGGTTTCTCGACAGAGCTGTCTCTCCAGGCAGGCGGGCAGGCAGGCCGCCTTAAAGATGAGATACATCTGGGAGGTGTGGATACCGGGAAGTCAGGGGCCCGAGGAAGGTGCCGTTCAAATACCACATGGTGTCCCTTGCCCTCAGGACTGCATAGCTTTTGCCGGAAATGGAGGTTTCCTGCATCTGTGGGTACAGAATTCAGCACACAGAGCTGATGAAATGACATTCTCGTATTTGTAAAGAACATCCAATGCCATGGGTGGGAAGAACTGTGCTTCCCCGAAGCCTCTGGGGGAGTCTCTGCATCTTCTGGCTTTTGGTACTGCCTCAGCCTGGGCATCCCTTGGCACCTCTTGGTTTCTTTTTTCTTTTCTTTCTTCTTTTTTTTCTTTGCATATGTATATGGTGTGTGTGAATGAGGGCACACATATGTGATTGAGTGCACATGCAGGGGCTGGAGGGAGGGCTCAGCGGTTAAGAGCACTGACGCTGCTCTTCCAGAGCTCCCGAGTTCAATTTCCAGACACCACATGGTGGCTCACAACCATCTACAGTGAGATCTGGTGCCCTCTTCTGGCGGCAGGTGTACATGCAGACAGAACATTGTGTACGTAACAAATAAATCTTTAAAAAAGAGCGTGCACATACCTGTGTGTGCATGCATGTGTTCTGCACTTTTTTGAAGCGGGTTCTCTCCCTGAACCCAGAGCTTGCAATTTTGGGTGAGTACAGCTAGCCAGCTTGCTCTTGGAATCCCACCTCTGAGTACACCAGCGATGGCCTTGCCCGTCCAGCTTTTATGGCAAGTGTTTTCTCTACCATGCCCACATTATCCATAACCCCAACCCTCTGCCACTGTCTTTATTTACACGGCCTCCTCCGTGTATCTCTCCTTCCATGAGGATGTGGCTGTATTGAACATGAGGCCCATTATGATAGGACCTCATTCCGGGACACTGAGGCAGGGTCTCAGGTAGCCCTCTGGCCTCCAGCTTTGTTTAGCCAGAAATGACCCTGAACCCCTGATTCTCCTACCTCCACCTCCCAAGTGCTAAGCTGACAAACATGTCTATGTGTACCTGCTTTATTTGGTATTGGAGATCAAACCCAGGACTTTTTTTTTTTTTTTTTTTAATGTATGAGCATTTGCCTGCATATATGTGTGTGCACATGAGCTTGCCTGGTGCCATTTAGCCAGGAGAGGTATCAGGTTCCCTGGAACTGTATTTACAGATGGTTGTGAGCTACCATGAGTGTGCTGGGAACCAAGCTCTTGTTGCTAGAGCAACAAGTGCTCTTTAACTGACGAGCCATCTCTCCTGTCCCAAAATCGGGGCTTTTTTCTTAATGCTTTAATGTTGTATATAAAATGTGATTGCGAATGCCATGGAGTGCACATGCCATGGAGCCTGTGTGGAAGTCAGAGCAACTTGTGGGAGTCAGTTCCTCCTTTCTCTGTGGGACCCAGGAACTAAGCTCCATCATTAGACTCTCCCCAGCAAGCACGTTTGCCCACTAAGGTGCCCCTCTGGCCTATCCTTGATAATTTTGTTGGTTGGTTTGGACAGGGTCTCTCTATGTAGCCCTGGCTGTCCTGGAACTCTCTTTGTAGATCAGGCTGGCTTTGATCACCTGCCTCTGCCTCCCAGGTGCTGGGATTAAAGGTGTGCACCGCCATTCCAGCCCATCCTTGATGTTTCGACAATCCTTTGTTTTCTTGCTATGTGGGGCAGTCTAGTGTGGGCCTCTGTGTAACCCAGGCTGACCTTGAATTCTCAACCTACATCAACACATTCAAACTCTACATTAGCCGGGTGAGGTGGCTCACACCCGTCATCCCAGCACTCGGGGAGGCAGCGGCAGAGGCAGGCAGATCTCTGCGAGCTTGAGGCCTGGTCTACGAATCAAGTCCAGGACAGCCAAGGCTACACAGAGAAACCCTGTCTCCAAAAACCTAAATAAACAAATGATCTCATTTGACACAGAAAGCACACGTTCATCTCCAACTGTCTTCAAGCTACTTGTAAGCAGTCACTGTGTCGCCTGCAAAGCTGGAGCTAGCTATTCCTAGGCCGGTGCTCACGATTTTTAACCCTGGGCTGGAAGGTCAGCAAGGGAGAAGTGAAGAGTTTTACGTTGACATTTGGCCTGTTTAATTGGACTACATTTAAAAAAAAAAAAAAAAAAGTTTAGGGTTTTTTTTTTTAAATTAAAATATTTTTGGGTTTTTTTTTTTTTTTTTTTTTTTTTGCCAGGCAGTGGTGTCACACACCTTTAATCCCAGCACTTGGGAGGCTGAGGCAGGCCAATCTCTTGTGAGTTTAGGACCAACCTGGTCTACAGAGTGAGTTCTAGGACAGCCATGGCTACACAAAGAAACCCTGTTCCAAAACAAAAATAGTTTGATTTTCGTGCATAGGTATTTTGCCTGCATTTATGTCTATGTAGTACATGCATGCCTGGTATTCAGGGAAGCCAGAAGAGGACATCAGATCCCCTGGAACTGGAGTTTCCAACTGTCTTGTGGATGCTGAGAATCCAACCTCAGTCCTCCAGAAGCAGCCTTTGCTCTTAGCCACAGAGCCATCTCTTCGGGCCCTCTTGGGCTATTTGGCCCAGCCTCAGTGTCATTGACTATCTGTATCTGAAAGAAGGCACCTCTAAGGTAGCCTGAGGCAAAAAATGGGGCATTCAGAGTGTCCTACCACAGTGCTTGCTTATTCGCTTCTTTTGAGGCGTGAGACTTTAAAGCTACCACCCTGTAGCTCATGGGCTGCAGTAGCCAATAATAACTTAATACAAAATTGTAAACTTAAAAATATGAGGGGTTTGTTTGCTTTGTTTTGTTTATTCATTTGTCCGTTCGCTCATTTATTATTCATTCATTCGTTTTTTGTTTGAAACAGGGTTCCTCTGTGTAGCCTAGATGGTTGGGTAGGTTGATGGGTAGGTGGATGGATGGATGGATAGATACTTTATTGTACATTTAGTTTAATTTCAGATTTTATTTATGTTTCTCTGTGTGTCCCTCTGTGTGTGGGGGGCGTCTGTCACAGTTCACATTTTTCAGTAACTGGTTGGCTGCCATCTTGGCTGGGACCTCACCTAGATGGAAGCAGTCCTGTGGACGGCAGCCATCTTGGCTGGTGATCTCACCAAGGTCGAGTGTATAGTTCTTGAATGTGACCTTTGCAGGGGATATTGCCATGTTACAATATCAAAAAGGCTGGTGTAGCTGTCATGCTCACTGCCTGCCACACCAGCGTTCAGAAAGCTGGGGTGGGGCAAGACGATTGAGCTCAAAGCCTCAAAACCGAAACAAGAAGTTCCAAGTCCAGCTTTATGCATGAGCAGTGCTGACAGCCTGAGCATCCATGTGCCTGCCTCAGGAGTTCTAGCTTTGCAGGCCTCAGGTCCTCTGGTGCAGCTGCCCTCTGTGGAGATAGACATGGCTGACAGATGCAGCGTTGTGTGGCTAGGGGAGGCTATAACCCCTCTCCCCGTTCTGCCTTCTAGGGCGCTGTGGCCTCTCAAGATGGAGGACAAGGGGCAGGAGGCGTGGAGGTGGTTTCCTACACCCTACATCCCGCTATCCGTCTCCATGTCCCCTCCACTTGCATTAGGATGAGATGAGTTGTTCTTGATTTAACATGTGCTTGGATGACCAAATGTCCCAAGTACTACAAGCAGCTGCAGAACCCTTGTTCTCAAGAGGGCTAGTGCCATAGTCCTGGGTACTTGCAACAGCTCTTAACCTTGATCTTTCAGAGATATTATTAAGGGGTTTTGAGATCTCTGAGAAGCACAAGTAGCAGACTGAGACTGCCCATGGACACACGGACTCACCACCTGCAACCAGAATTCTCAAATCACATGCTTTCTTTACCTGTTGAGCCATCTTGCCAGCCCCTGCCTGAACCTTTTTGGTTTTGGTTTTTCAAGTCAGGGTATTTTCTGTATAGCCTTGGAATTCACTCTGTAGACCAGGCTGGCCTCGAGCTCACAGAGATCTGCCTGACTCTGCCTCTCAAGTGCTGGTACTACAGGCTTTCGACATTACCACCGTCTGGCTTGTCTAAGCTTTTCAAACCCCAAATTCTGCAGTTCTTGTGGCCAGACATAGGACCAGAGGTGACCAGGTGTGGTTTGGACTGAGTCCTTTTTGAGGATCCCCTCTTTTTTAAACTAGGGATTGCAGTGATGAAATTCAAGAATCCTCCAGTGAATTCCCTCAGCTTGGAGTTTCTGACAGAGTTTGTCATCAGCCTGGAGAAGCTGGAAAATGACAAGTCCTTTCGTGGTGTTATCCTCACTTCGGTAGGTGCCTATTCAAGCCTCACACACACACTCCTCCCTGGCTACGGTCAGAGTGGGAACCTGAAAAATCTGGAGCCCTTCATCATGAGGTGCCCAGTCCCCAGGCAGCCATAATCCCCACTAGGGGCCTCTAGGACAGTCTACCGGAAGGAGAGAAGGTTTCCAGGTTTACCAGACCTGGACTAACCTCGGACCTGCTGAGCAGTCTTTCCAGGAGCCACCTGAGGTCATATAGTCACTAGCAAACATAGCCAGGGTCTCCCAGGCTACTTTCCCCCCAGGAGCTGTGGGAGGCGGAGCTAGGCCCAGCAGGACATACGCCTCGAGCGTGAATCTGCTCTTGTTTGGGTCATCTTAGGTCAGGTATCAGGGGCAAGTTCTGCCATCTGAATTCTTGAGGGGAACCTGGCATTGCCCACAAGCGCTGGCAGATGCCCGGAATAGCACTGGTGAGAGCAGGGCCTCTGAAGTCAGTAAGTGGCCGCTACAGGGAAGTTCTCGGAGGCTTGCTCTCCAGCCAGACAGGGCATCACCTCCTCTGCCCGCTCTTCAGTGCCAGGCGTCAGATGTGCAGTCATTTTATTTCAGCCCCTTTGGTCTTGTCGTTTGGAGTCAGGGTCTTGTATCCCAGACTGGCCTCTAATTTGTTAGATGGTCAAGGCCATCTAACAATGCATCTAAAAGTGCCACCATGCCAGTCTGTGAGGTGCTAAGAACCAAACCCAGGCCTTTGCGGACGCCAGGCAAGTGCTCTGCCAACTGAGCTACATCTATATTATTTTTTCCTTCCTTTTTGGGGGTGACAGAGAAGATTGAAGCTGAAGCCATCTGAACAGTGGGCAGGTGTTCAGCCGCTCAGCCCACTACATTTTAAATAGGCCCAAAGCATAGGTGTCTCCCTGTGCTGCGAGCTACAGTAATACAGAGACTGGCCTGGGTCACAAAGGTGTAGGAAGCTAAAGGCATCAACCCCAAAGTGCCAGGCCGCCTGGTAGGGAAACAAAGGCCACCGGATTCGTGTCTCATTAATTTCTGTGCTTATTATCATTGAAACTATTAGTTTATTTATTCAGCCCATAGCCTTAGCAGCTCATCTCACAGGCCACTTTTTAATGCGCCTAACTGGTGGTGCTACATTAATATTAATAAGCATCTGTCAACAAACTACCACAATTACATCCATTAGTCTTACCCTATTAACTGTCCTAGAATTTGCTGTAGCCCTTAGCCACGCCTGTTTTTTACCCTACTAGTTAGTCTCTATTTACATGATAACACATGATGACCCACTAGTTAACCCAAGCCCAGGACCACACACTGGGGCTCTCCACCCTTCCTCTGACCTCTGGCCTAGTAATGCAATTCTGTTTCAACTCTTGTATCTTTGTGTTCTTATGCCTTACACCAAGTACTCTTAACATATGTCGATGATGGTGTGACTTTATTCAATAATGAACATACCAAAGCCATCACACCTCTATTGTACAGAAAAGCCTTTGGATTTGTTGTTGTTGTTTGAGACAAGGTTTCTCTGTATAGCCCTGGCCATCCTGGACTCTCTTTGTAGACCAGGCTGGCCTCAAAATCACAGAGATCCGCCCACCTCTGCCTCCCTGAGTGCTGGGATTACAGGCCTGCTTCACCTCAGCCTGGCTCAGAAAGGCCTTTGTGATGCAATCACCGTATTTATCTGAAGCCTCTTCCCGCCCCCTCCCCTCTCCGCTTTCTATCACTCCAGCCTTGTACCTGAATTAGGTACATGAACTTGTACATGAACTAGGTGGATGCTGACCACCTACAGGAACTGTTCCATGTAACCACTTGAAGCCTGCTTAATCTATCAGTCTCCCTAGCGTCAGGGGTTTCCATCTCATGGGCTCACCATAGCTCACAAAAGGAAAGAAAGTAAAATCACGTACGCCAAACCTTACTAGCTACGGTTAGATTAAGACTGTACTTTACCATTCTCAAAGCCTCAGAATACTCCAAAATATCATTTTTCTGTTGTTACTGTCCATGCATTTACTATAATTTTCTTTACAGTAATACCAATAATAATTGGAGGCTTTGGAAACTGGTTACTCCCCTTAATAATTGGAGCCCCTGATATGTCGTTCTACAAAGTGTTAATGAATATTCTACTGAGAGGGCCTCTTGTTCGGAGGCAATTCAAAAGAGTATAATGAAAACTGTCGAGAGATGAATGATCCTATGAGGATACTGTATTTCGTGTAGTGTGGGCGTCGGATAATCGGAGTATTGTCATGGTAGTCCTGAGGGCCCTAGAAAACACTGAGGAGAAAGTGTAATGTTTACTCCTACAAACATAATTTTAAAAATGAACGTTTGCTAATGTTTCATCTAGAGTATACCCTGAAAAAAGTGGAAAACAGTGGACAGGACCAGCCTTTATAGAGAAGAGATGGAGAAATGAGCGGCTGTGGGATGGGCATCATGAAGGGCGATATTGGGTGAAAGTGAGGCTCCCGGCTGGGAGAAGATGAGCCTAGGGCCACAGCACACCAGTGATGTGTCCCCTGATGGGCAGCGAGCCAGCTCGGAGACTTTACTACAGTGGTAATAGTTGTTGCAGCTGGCGTGAAATAAGCACCAGTGTCTGCATCAAGGCCTGCTGTGAATATGTGATGAGCTCATATGACAGAAAAGTCCTAGGAAACCAATAGGCATTATGGCTCAGACTGTTCCTATAAATTCAAATCATCCTTTTTCTGCCTGAATAAGAAGTAACAGTATGGGAAATAATTCTGAAGCCTGGGAGGATTAAAATGTAAACTTCTGAGTGGCCAAAACAAAAAAGGTGTTGATGGAGAATAGGGTCTTCTCCAGCAGGATCAAAGAAGGTTGTGTTTAAGTTTTGGCCAATTAAGAGTATTAGAAATTTTAGAAATTCCATAGCTGGGTGGTAGTGGCATAAGCCTTTAATCCTAGCACTAGGAAGGCAGAGGCAGGCAGATATCTGTGAGTTCAAGGACAGTCTAGGCTACAGATTGAGTTCTAAGAAAGCCAGGACTACACAGAGAAACCCTGTCTCGAAATAATTGAAAAAAAAGAAAAGAAAGACAGACAGAAAGAAAGAAAAAAAAAAATACATTCCTGCAGCAAGGGCCCAGAGAGAAGGAGTAATTAGGACAGATCACACTTGAATAATGGAGTTTGATACTGTGCTGTGGCTGATGGGTTATGTTAGTGATGGTAGTAATAAAGTAATTTCACCCAGGATCGATGAACCATCAGCTAAATGGAGAAAATAGTGTGCAGACGGCAGATGCACCTGGGTGGGCCAGATTCCAGCTAGTGAGGGATAAGCAGTTCAGCCAGTTCCGCTCCCGGGTCTATTGTTAACGCAGCCAGGAGAAGAAAAAATGGAGGAAGAAATTAAAAGTTTATATTGTTTATTTGTGGGACTAAGCAGCAGACTGTTTCTACATAGGCCATACTCACAGACACTAGAAGTGAGGATTTGAATGTGACTCAGAAGGCCACCGTTCACCCAACAGTTGTCTTCCCAGATCACAGATATGAGCTGACTCATAATCCTTCAAATCTACTTGGTATGACTAGTATGCATATTTTAGTTTATTTTCTTCACATGAATTCTGCCTTCTGGAGAGGTGGCTCAGTGATTAGGAGCACTGGCTGCTCTTGAAAAGGACCTAAGTTCGATTCCCAGCACCCAACAAGGAGGCCATTGTCCTCTCAGACTTGTCCCTCCTGCCAACTTCCACCCAATGTGGAGATGACCCACAGGTCCATTGTACCTAGAAGCGTCTAAATTGGCTATGAACGGTGATGCACGCCTTTTATTTCAGTGCTTGGGAGGCAGAGGCAGGTGGGTCTCTGTGAAATCCAGACCAGCCTGGTCTACAGAGTGAGTTCCAGGACAGCCAGGGCTACACAGTGAGAAGGGAATGTGGGGAGAGCATCTAAATTTAGCATAATTGTCTCTGTTGAGTCTTCTCTGTTAGTTGGAGAATGGATGCGTTTCATGAAAACACAAAGTGAGATCAGCCCACAAATACTGCGCATCAGTTCATGAGCGAGAGACATGGCCTGGTGCACTGTGGCTCCAGGTCACAGAAGATGTCTCCGTCCGTCTCCACTTCCTCACCTCTGTGGAGCAAACAAACCGTCTAGTTCCTGCTGGGCCAGGTGCTGCCCTGTAACAAATCTACAACCCATGAACTCGCTCCTGGCCAGGAAACCATGCAGAGGGGAAGCCCCAGGTGGGATTTTTACCTGGAGGCTTCAGAGCCATCTCCTGGGGATTTGATGCTGGCCCTAACACCGGCTCTGTCAGCGCTTTCCTGTAGCTCATAGGCTCTTCTGCCTATGTTCTCCCCACACCTGCTGTGGTAGCTGTGTTGGATCCGAGACATCCAACTGAGGACCCACATGTGTGGCTATGTAGTTCTTCAGATCCTTCTTTTGCACCATCACTTTCTTTCTGCCCTTGCTTGACCTTGGGACCTGCACCTGAAGTCTCCAGCCTGGATGACAGAACTGAGCACAGGGGTGTGCTCGGGTGTCAGACAGCTCGTACATACGTACCTCTGAGCAGTACCTACTGTTACTTGTTCTGTTCTGCTAGAAAAGGACTAACATTCCAGAAAGCAGTCAGTTCAGAGGAAGGTCCAGGCTGTGTCCCTGACACCATCAGTTCTGGACTCCTTGGAAGCAGCACCTCACCAGCCAAACGTGACCCTGGCTTCTCCCGGCAGGACCGCCCAGGTGTCTTCTCGGCTGGCCTGGACCTGATGGAGATGTATGGCCAGAACCCAGCCCACTACGCTGAGTACTGGAAGGCTGTGCAGGAGCTGTGGCTGAGGCTCTACTTATCCAAGCTGATCTTAGTGTCTGCCATCAATGTGAGTGACCCCAGCCCCCACACCCACAGCTCTCAAGGGCCTGCCCAGAAGCAGGGGCTACTCACACTCTGACCTTCCTGGGCCAGACACACACAGCAGAGAAAAAGCCACTGGGTAGGGACCAAGGCCTGGCTGGCTGGAATGAGCCCTGAGCAGATCCACACTTGGAAAGTGATACTCAGACTTGACCTTGGGAAGGTAGAGCAGTAGAGAAAGGATTGGGGCTCAACTTTAAAAAGCAGGGTCCTTGCCCCAGGTGGTGGTACAGTTAATCCCAGCAATTGGGAGGCAGGGGCAGGCGGTTCTCTGAGTTCGAGGCCAACCTTGTCTACTAGAGCAAGTTCCAAGACAGCCAGAGCTATACAGAGAAACCCTGTCTCAAAAAAACAAAAACCCAAAAAGCTGGGTTCTTTAAGGGGATGGCTCTAAGGATCAAAGCCATGGGAACTGAAAGGAAGGATTGGAGAGAGAAAGTTGAGAATGTAAGGGCCTGGAAAAGAGAATGGATGACGTCTCAATATGGGGCATTAGGGTGCATGCAAGGAGGACACTGCCATTTTGGGGTTCCCAGGCATCCTAGTAGGAATGCATGCTTATGGCTCCATGGCCTGACAGCTCTGTCTCTAAATACTTCACCTCAGATAAAAGCTACAAAAGGAGAAGCAACTTGCTGTTCTTAGAAGATTAATTTTTTTGGCCCCAGAAAGCTAAAAAGTCATATGGTAAGGACCTTGAGCCTCTTAAGACCCCAGCTGCTGATTCAGTGACCAGTCTCAGTTTACATTCCTATCAGACATACTTGACCCAGATGCCAGGGCAGTGCCAAGAGCTCTAGCCTATCCTCAGACCTTGGAAGCTTGGGCACTCCGTTCTGTCTAAGGAATACTGCCGAGAACCAGGACACTTACAGAGCCAGTCTCTTGCTTCTCTCCACAGGGGGCCTCTCCAGCTGGAGGCTGCCTCATGGCCCTTACTTGTGACTACAGGATTATGGCTGACAACCCCAAGTACACCATAGGATTGAATGAGAGCCTGCTGGGCATTGTTGCCCCCTTCTGGTAAGACAACAGACTGCACTCATCCTTCCCTTCCCAGCCCTGGGACAACCTCCCTCCCTGGCACAGAGCTGAGGGACGTCTTCATTTCAGGTTAAAAGACAACTTCGTGAACACCATCGGGCACCGAGCAGCAGAGCGTGCCCTTCAGCTGGGGTTGCTCTTCCCCCCGGCAGAGGCGCTCAGGCTGGGTGTGGTGGACGAGGTGGTGCCCGAGGACCAGCTACACAGCCAGGCTCACTCAGTGATGGCTCAGTGGTTGGCCATTCCAGGTAAAGAGCAAGCAGCTGGCAGCTTTGGGAGAAGTGGTTAGGGAAGCCCTTTTCCATTCCGGTGATCCGTCCTGATGAAACCAAAAGTTCTCACAAGTCAGGATCTGGGAAAGTAGGCTGTGCTATTGATCTGTGTGTGATGCTGGGGAGCAGGAGTGAGCTTCCCAGGTCACTGCTGTTGAGGAGGGCTCTTAGAGGAGGGAGCGCAGCTGGCCACAGCCACATGCTGCGGAACTGCGGGGACACAGTGTTGGTGTCTGACTTTTTTGAGAGGGGATCTCACTGAGTAGCTAAGCTTTTCCTGAAACAGCCTACTTAATATCTTCAAATTTGGACTCTCTCTGCCTCCATTTCTTCAGTGTTGGATACAGGCGTGTGCCACCAATTAAGACACTAAAGCTTTAATGTCAGGTGTTTCCCCAAGTATGTGGGCAGGCCTCCTCGGAGCCCTCTTCTCTTGTGGAGCCAGTTACCAGCACCTATACATACAAGCAAGTATTTACTGATACAGAAAATGTGGTCAATAATATATTCAACAAAATAACATGTTGTTTGTAGTGCCGGAGATAGAACCTGGGCCTGTGCGTGTGCTCTACCACTGACCTGTATGCCCAGCCCTAAAGATGACATAAAAGGGCAAATTTTAAGAGCTAGGCACAGTGGCATGTGCCTGTAATCCTAGTACTCAAGGGACTAAAAGAGAAGTGCTACAAGTTCAGGAGTACCCTGGGCTACAGGGAGAGACTGTTTCAGCAACAATAATAAACACCTGTAGTATTCCCTTGTCTGCTCCTACCCTTTATTTATGTTAGTTTGTTTAGACAGGTGTTCATATATCTTTCAGGCTGTCCTTGAACTCCCTGTCCTGCCCTAGCTGCTCAAGTGTTAGGACACCAACTTTCTCTGTGGTTCTCTGAACTCTCTAGGAGAGTCCACATTTCAATATTTGAAGACTGTGTAGAAGAGCCAGGAATGGCACCATTCTCTAAAAGTGAGCTTCATAAGTAACCCCACTTTCTTTAGACCATTCTCGGCAGCTAACCAAGAGCATGATGCGAAAGGCCACGGCAGACAACCTGATCAGGCAGCGAGAGGCTGACATCCAGAATTTCGTCAGCTTCATCTCCCGAGAATCCATCCAGAAGTCCCTGCACACCTACTTGGAAAAGCTCAAGCAAAAGAAGAGCTAAAACAAGGCAAACATGCAGTTTTTAGTTACACATGCTTTCTGGTCCAAGGGTTATAAAACAAGGTATTTTTCAACTTAAAAACTCTCTTGGCTCTTTTTTTCCTGACCTTATTATGTCCTCTTCAAGATGGAGAGGTGGCTCAGTGGCTACACTAAGGGTACTGGCTGCTCTTGCAGAGGACCCAGGTTCAATTCCCAGCACCCACATGGCAGCTAATAACCCTCTGTAACTCCAGTTCCAGGGGATCCAATGCCCCCTCTGGCCTCTGAGGGCACTTCATGCAAATATACATGCACATACACACATGCAGGCAAAACACCCATACACGTTTTATATATACATACACAACACACACGCACGCACACATAACACCTATACGCTAAATATACATATACAACACACACACACATTTTATATACACTAACTGTCCTGCCAGCTGGGGTAGAGAGGTCTGTCAGTAAAGTGCTTACTGTGCTGCCCTGAGGGCTTGAAAAGCAAGGCATGGTGGACACATCTGAAAACCCAGTACTGGGCAGGCAGAAAATGCAGATCCCTGGGATTCTCTGGCCAGCCAGCCTAGCATAACTAGTGAGTGCCAGGGAGTCACCTTGTCTTAAAACAAGGTAGATACCTCCTTGACCTCTGGCTTATGTAAGTGTACACACACCCAAAGCAGCTGTTCTTGAAGCCTAGTGCCCTACAGCTGTAACCACAGCACCTTTCTGCTTGGTGAGCACACAAGCCACTCTGAACCTTGTAAGGGCTCACAGCATGTCTTCCTTCCTAAAGCAGAACTGTGAACCACATCCTCAGGGTGGCACCTGAGCCCATCCCTGGCCTTCCCTGCCTGTCTGGTTAGAACCTTTAAAGGCAGACAGTCGCTGTCTCTAGTTACCCACCAGGACCTCCAGAAAAAGCCTTCTGGCCACATACTTTTTCATTTAGAAAGAGTAGACAGCGATCAGGAACCTGAGGAACAGGAATGTGGAGAATGGTGACTAAAGCATTGCTCTCCTCCCTGACCAAACCGCCATTCCTGCTCCAGATAAGGTCTCTTGCAGCCCAGGGTGCCTTTCAAACATATAGTTGGGGATTGCCTTAAGCCCCGACTTTCCTGCCCCACCGCCTGAGTGCTGAGATGCCGATGTGCGGTGTTGCTGCTGGTCATGTTGCTGGGATCAATCCAGGGCATCACGCATGCTGGGCCAGCGCTCCACCTAGTGGGCTGCATGCGCGCCACTACTGCCTATTCGGTGGCCAGGTCCTGAATCTTACAGTAGGTTTTGCAAGATCAGACTTGTAGGCTGAGAATGAGACTTGACTGAGTTCACTAGGTCCTTGGTTCAATTCCCAGAAATGCCAAACAAACAAAAGCAAGTTCTTCTAATCCATCACAAGGTTTTTTTGTTTGTTTTTTCCCATGTGATTCACACCTATTCTCTAATCCACTAAAGATGATCTGTGTTTATTGACCTTGGGTTTCTCTGTAGACACACACAGAACACACACACATAAAGAAGTTTTAACAACCAGAAACCTCATGAGAGCCTGTGTCAACAGAACCATTTCCCGCCACTACAGTGATGGCCCACCTATGCATGAAACCACCACTCTCCCAAGGTCTTGCCCAGCAAAAGATTTTTAAGGGAGAAACTCCATAAGGTACCTTTGAAGGACTTAACCCAAGCCAGGGTCCAGGCTGGACAGGACCCTAGTGCCAACCAGTTGCCTTTGCTGTGTGGGGCTCCTTCTCAGAAGGTGCCAGGAAGCTCAGTGGGGAGCCTCCCTTGCCTCCTGCAGTGCTGGATGAGAACACAGCCTCTGCTTCAGGTGAGGGTCCTAGGATGCCCGAGGGCAGAATGACCGTGGGCCTGCTCTGAAATCCACAGGGTCCAGAACAATATTAGCACCCGAGCTGCATGTGGCGATTCATGGAAACGTTTGAGGTTTGCACAGAGCAATTGAGGACAGGAAGCTAGCATGTTCTAGAGGTGGGCAGTTTCCTCCAGGCTGTGAAGTGGACAAGTTAAGCCATCCAGTTCCCTGAAATGGAAACAGACCCCCTGGGCATTAAGACCCAAGTTTACAGCATAGGGACAGAGGTCTCAGAAAGCATAGAGACCTCCTCCGACCTGTGGGTGTCCTGGCCAGTAGCGGCTTGTTTATTAAACATGCAGCCATGTGCTCGACGCTGCTGTGCTTCCTTTCATGGCTCTTCACAACAGCCCCATGAGGTAGGTGAGGTTAGCCCACCTTACAGATGTGGAAACGGGGGCTCTACGTCATCCTGTAATGTGTCCACAGCCACTGTCCACACCAGCTGGCCCTGGTGAGGGTCTGCAGGCGGCATATCCACAGCTGTCAGTGAGGCTTGAAGGTCACTTCCACAGGAAAATGGTCGCTGATGGCAAGAGCCTTGAGGGAGAAGGGTAGAACCTCAGCAATTTCTGCAGTTCTGCATAGTGACTACCCTCGGGCCTCATTGTACCCCCACGTGGCAGAGGAACAGAAATTGCCAACAGTCCCCTCCCGGAAGACTGGCACTCTTAAGGATCCTCGGCTATAACTGCCTTTGCTATGGGGGGCACAGCCAGTAAGCTTTCTGTGAGCCCTCTCCTGAGTGGCCTGGCCACACTCACCTGGCTCTGATCTAGGTCAAATTCCTCCTGAAAGTTGTGAACTGAGGCTGACTGGGGCTTCAGGCTCCTGCGCAGGTGGGCACCACTCAGTACAATCCGGTCATAGGCACAGTCCGAGTTGCCCACTGTGGTGTCTGCACTGTCTGGGATGAGCCACTTAAACACCTCACTGCTGCGCAGGCGGATTGATGCCCAGTCATGCGCCTTCACATACTTGCAATCAGCATTAAAGTCACCCAGAAACAGCATGTCCTGTGGGCAAGCACAGCAGGTAGATCTTAGCAGTACTCAGTGGGCCAGACCTCTGAGCACACGTGTGCTGGTCCCAGACCTGAGTTTGGGGGGAGGGATTGCATACATCTGTGCCCCACTTGTCAATCAGATCAAGGTATACGTCGTAGAGGGCATCAATCTCCGCCACTGCCTGGTGTGGTGCTGCATGCAGGGGGATCAGCACTAGCTCCTTCGCAGCTGTGGGAGACGGGGAGAGTAGAGTCAAGGCCGGCCTGGAGGAGGTAGGTCTGGGAGGGAGGGGCAACATCAATCTCACCACAGCTGGGAGCTGAGAATTTGACCACAAACGGCTCCCGGCTGAAGGCATCCTCTGGATCTGGATACTGGTACGTGCTGACCACTGACACTGCGTCTTTCCTGGGAGCAGAGAACCGGGTGGTCTGTGAATCTGGTCACCTCTGCCCCTGTGTCCCCTCCCTGCAGCCCACCCCTCACCTGTAGACAAACAGATACATTTCCTTGTATTGGTCCCGTCCAAGTGGCCTGCTGCTCACAAAACCGTACTCATGCTTGGACATGCTGTGGAGAGACGCCCGCCCCTGAGTCAAGGCACCAAGCCGAGCTTGTGATAGTGGCTGGGGTTGCGGTGCCCGGCCCTGCCACACCTGTTAATTTGTTCCATGAGCAAGGACACTGCACTTAGGTCTGGGTCTCGCACCTCCTGCACCAGGACGATGTCATAGCCAGCCAGGATCTGGAGGAAGAACCCAGGGATGCACTGCCCGTTGGTCTAATCGCCCAGACTGAGCTCCTAGTCCCATCTGCTTCCCACCTCCAGAGCCCTCCATTGCCCCCCGCCCCATTTCTCCACCACCCCTGCCGGGCCTCACCTGTGCTATGACACTGCCACAGTCTGGATCTGACACTTTGTGGTCACCAAAGCTCTGAATGTTGAAGGCTCCAATGCGCAGTGCCGTGGCCCCCATGGCACCCAGTGCCCAAAGTACTGTCAGCGGGGCCCAGGGCCAACCCATGATGGCAAAGCAGAAAGCCTGGAGACAGGAATGTCCCAGAGTAACACCAACCCATACCAGGCCATAGCACAGATGCTGCCAACTCCATCTGGCACCCAGGATTGGCCTGCATCTCGACACATTCCATGTTTCTCGGGGGTACATGGTCTGTCGTTGCAAGGATGAGAGGATTCTATTCCCATCAGCCTCTAGCTCAGCCAGACCCCTAGACTTACCTGGGCTGTGAATAAGAAGGTGCTGTCAAAAACGCAAGGGTCCCAAGTCAAGTGAGATTCACTGCAGACTGAGGGCCTAATGTGGCCCAAGATGAACTGGAGTCTTGGACCTATGATTTCAAAGCACCCCAGGTATTTGAGGCCCTGGACCAGGAAGGGGCTGGACTACAATTGGGAACCACCCCTTCCATGGAGTCAGTTCCAGAACTGGCTCCCATTCCTGAGACCCAAGAAGGCAAGGGAGACAGGGCATATGCTAAGGCACTTCCACTAACTTAGGATCATGGCAAAAGTCTCTAGCAGCCCCCGAGAAAAGCTTCAACACTACAATGAGAGGGACAACTGTGCCCACGGCCAGCCTCTCATTCTTGTCTCCACCCCTCCAAAAACTAGTTGGCCCAAATACAGGCTGATAAATCAAAAAAGACCAGCTCTAGCCTGCTCTGACATCTCCTACTGTTTCTCCAACACCTACCCATCACAGAGGAAAGCAGCAGCTACTCAGGCTATCCAAGGTCCTATGTCTCTAAACCAACTCCATAAACCCTGACAACAGTCCCAGATTTGGGGGTTGAGAAGAACACCTCACACCCTGGCAGGCCTGTGAAAGCTGGAGTCACAGATCCAGCTAGGTAGGGCAAGAGGCTGTCTGTCAACATGCCAGAAACACCCACGCGCCTTGAGGCGCCACCAGGGCTGGAAGCCAAGTGTGTGGTTAGAGGGTGGCCTAAGCAAGCAGGTGTGTCCAGAGGGTACCTATGAAGGCACCTGTGCCAGCCCCAGAGGCTACCCCAATATCACAAGCTGCAGGTTTTTATGTTTTATTGTAAAGCAGAAAACAAACAAACCAAAAACCAAAACAAAACTGCATATTCACACTGTCTTCTGAGCAGTCAGGTGTGGGCAGGCACTCGGGGTCCTCACTGTACCACAGCAGTGGCCTTCAAGCTATACGATGACTGTCTGCACCTCAATCTGGCCCTCTGGTGAAGCAATGACCAGCTCTCCTCCATGCTCCAGGATCTCTATGTCCTCTGATGACATCATTGTCACAGTAGCCTGTTCAGCACTGGTTGGACCTGCCCGGGCTGTGAGCACAGTGCCCTCACTGATTGCTGAAGCCAGTGTCATGGCCACCTGCTCTGTAAGACTCTCAGGAGTGGCGATGGTGATTGTGTCAGCAGCAGCTGCCTCCGAGCCCAGTGCTGCCTCCTGGTCCATGGTCACATTCTGCACAATGATCTGGTGCCCAGCACCGGCCTGGTGCACAATCTGCTGTACCACCTTCATGATGTGACTGTCCACCTGTGGGGACCATGGTTAAGCCCAGGGGGCTGCTCAAGCCCAGTGAGCCCCCCCCGCCCCCCCCCCCCCCCGCGCCCCCCCCCCCCCCCCCCGCATACCACACCCAGACCCTCACCTCTGTCTGGGTGCCTTCAATGATCTCGGTGGCTTCACTGGTCTCTGTGTCATCTGCAGTAGCCTGGACAGTCAGTTAGAGGTGGTCAAGGCTGTCCTGAGTCCAAACCTGCCCCACCAGCTCTACACCCACCTCAATAATGTACTCCTGAGTATCAGCCACCACAGATGAGAACTCCACCAGCACGGTGTGGGGGTCTTCCGTAAGGACAGTGGCAGCCTCGGAGGGGTTCTCCTCAGATACCAGCAACTCCTCCACTTCCAGCAGGCAGCCCCCTGCCAACAGGGACGCTCATCTCAGTTAGGGCCGGTTGACCCCAACCGGAGCTCCCCTCTCCTGCCACCTGTGGCCCAGACCTTTAGTGCGCAGGTGCCGGTTGAGTGTGCCATGCTCTGCGAAGCCTCGACCACACTTGTAGCACTTGAAAGGCTTCTCGCCCGTGTGATGCCTCACATGCCGCACCAGTGAGCCCTTCTCCCGGAAGCCTCGGCTGCAAAACTGGCACACATGGGGCTTCTCTTCCAGATGTGTCCGGAAGTGCACCTGCTGGGCATTCTAGAGAGACCTTTCCGTGACAACCTGTTCTTGGTCATATCCCCACCCCCAGGCCTGAGAGGCCAACCATAAACAGTCTAGGCTAGGAGGAGGGTGTGGCAGGACACTGGGAGTACAGCCAGAGCCCAGATTGGCAGTGGAGGGTATGTTCAGGCATAAGGATCTCAGGACCAAAGGCCTACCTTGGTTTTGTATCGCTTGCCACACTGGGGACAAGGGAAAGGCCTCTCGTCTGAGTGGACACGTCGGTGGCCCCGCACATGAGCAATGGTCTTATAAAGCTTCCCACAGTCTCCACAACGGAATCGGCGCTCGTGCACATGCACCTCCTGGTGCTTCTTGAGCAGGTAGGCTTTGGGGAAGGCCTTGCCACACTGTGTACAGGTGAACGGCCTCGGCCCTGAAGCCACACCCAATGTCAGGCCATTTTCACCACCCGAGAGCCCACCAGTTGCCAGTCCACAGGCCACCCTAGCCTTGGACCCATCCACCTCCCTGCTACCCACCTATATGACCTCTCTTGTGGGCCTCCAAGGTGGCTGCTGTTGGGAAAGTCTCAGTGCACTGAGGGCATGGGTGGGTCCTGGGCACAGTTGAGGCCTCACTGGCCACCTGCTGGGGACCACAGACCAACCTCTAACACCTATTGTAAGCTGTGCTCTAATGATACCAAAAAGAGAGCCAGCCCTCTTCCCTCCTGGCCTTAGACGGAAGTTAACAGACTAGAGGACAGTTACAGCAGAAAGCAACCCTATTTAAGCTAGGCACAGTGGTGCACGCCTGAAATTCTTGGTAGAAGCAGGAGAATCAATAATTGAGGCCAACATTGGCTACATAAAAAATATGGGGCAGCTTAGGTTACATCAGACTGTCTTAAAAAAAAAACAATTAAATTAATCAATTAATAAGCTAAGTATAATAATAAATAAATTTATATTAATAAATAAGGCTAGCAGCTTCCCCCAGCATGATAAGCAGATACTGGGTCAACCCCACCAGTAACAGACACCTACTGTCTCCATCTGCTCTACCTCCAACAGTGGCAGTTCTGGGGGTCCATCTCCCAGGGACTGGGGACTGGACCCAGAGGGAGGGGCTGGCTCCAGAGTACTGTCCTCCCCAGCAACCCTCTCAAGGACGATGCCAGAATTCTGCATGGCCTGATGTAGCAGGTTCTCACGGCTGTTCTCACTGGAACAGGGAAGCTCCTCAGAGTCTGGGGACTGTAAGGGAGGTAAAGGAAAAGAAGGAAGGAGGGAGGCCTGCCAGGTAGCCCAGCACAGGGCACCCATTCCCACCCACCCCACCTAGCAGACTCATGACAGGCTCACCCTTACAGCCCCACGGTACACAGCCAGCTGCCTCAGTTCTGAGTAAATTCCATCTCATTCTCCCTACACTTCACCTCACACTCCCTTAGCAGCTTCCCTGCCATCTGCTAGGGAGTTCTGCCCACAGCCTAGTAGTGTGCTTTCCTGAGGGAAAGGGGCACCTTCCCCCTGATCCTGCTGAACACATCCTGGCACTGTGTGGTCAAAGGGCAGAGCAGCACCTACCTCTGGGGCCAGGGTTTTCATGCCCATAGGAAGCTCCTGCATCTGGACATGGACTTCATGGATGACAGTGCCCTTGGCATCTGTGACCAGGTGAATCACAGGTGATGTCTCCATGGGCTCTCCTGCCACTGAGGATGAAACTGGCCCCACAGTGGAGGCACTGGACCCTTTACGACAGAGTAAGTCCTTGAAGAGCCTGGCAGCCAATTTTGGGAATACCAGTCCCAGCCTCCCCACCAAGCTGACCTGCAGGCACTTCCTCTTTGCCCACAACTGTGTCCTTGCTTATGCTAAAGCGGATCTTCTCTGTGCATGGAGTGAGAGATTTGAGGTGCCGAGTCAGTGCACCTGACTCCCGGAAGCTCTTTCCGCACTTGGCACATTTATAAGGGCGCTCATCTGTAGAGAAAACAGTCAGCCCCCAGTGGAAGATGGACAGTGTCCTGTGTTAAGAGACACCAAGCATGCAGGCCCTGTCTCGCCATCCAGGACACGGGCAAGCTGTAGGGGGTCCCAGAGCCTGTCAGCAGGTTACTTAGTGTCGCTCTAACCTTCAGTTCACTTACCAGTGTGCCGCCTGTGGTGCCGAATGAGAGAACCCTTGGTCCGAAAAGAGGCACCACAGAGCTTGCACTCATGGTCCTTGCGGCTGCTGTGTGTTACCATGTGGGCCTTGAGGATGCTGCCCTGTGGGGAAGGGGCAGTAAGGCTCAAGGCACCTCACTGGAAAGGAGTAGGCAGGGGAGCCAGCGGGCCCTTGGCCCCAGGGGCTCACCGTTTTGAAGGTCTTGTGACATAGCATGCACACGTAGCGGCCTTCCTTGTTCACCAGCAGCTTGACTTGGGCCTGCTCGCCCTCCCCAATAAGCCCAAGTTCCTGATGGTTAGGACTGCCTGGAGCCTCTGCCATCTCGCCATCCCCTGGCTCTGCCTCAGCAGCCACAATGACCTCTTTGATGTGCCCACTTCCTGAGGAGAGGCAAGTTAACATAAGCCTCAAGACCTATCACTACTGCAGGCCCTGCCCATAGGAGATCCCGCCACAGGAGTCCACTGGAAGCCAGAGAACTGTCCAGACCACCCCACCCCAGGGCTTAGAACTTGGAGCCAATCTGCACTGAAAGAAATCCATGCAGCAGCCATTACAGGCAACCTGACATGGCAGACAGACCACTTCCAACTCAGTAGAGCTGCCTAAAGCTCAGGGTCCCCAGACTGTGCCCAATATCTCTCTGAGGAGATAGCCCATCCCTTAAACCAAGAGACACAGGGGTCCTACAGCCAGATGCCCAGGTAAATAGGCAGTGGGCATCCTAGTTCAGCTCCCTGCATTTTTCCTGCTGGATGGCCCCAGTCCCACCAGTATAAAGGAGAGAGAGTTCTGGGGGCTGCCTGTTGGGTAGACAGGCCTAGGCAGATCCCTGCCCAGAAATGACTGAAGAAACTAGACACCTGAGATAGCTAGAGAAAACGATGTCACGTTTTTGCACTTCTCACAGGATGCTGAGGAATGTGACAATGAGCAAAGCCACACTAAAAACATATTTCACATTTTCTACTCATAAAAATGATGAGTGAGAACCAGCCAAGAAACTACTTCCTAGAAACCATCTCCATTCCAGCTGGTATTGTTTTGACAAGCCATTCTCTCAAAACAGAATGAATGAGCACCATGACTCAGAAACAAGTAAGGTTGTCTCTCGCCCATGCTCCAGCCCAATGCCCCCCCCCAAAAGTACCTTCCCAAAGGACAGAGACCTGATGGGTGAGGAATACGGGTGCACCAGCCCAAGAGGAAATTCTTTTCTATCTACACCCAATGCAGTGAACCTAGAGCTGATATTCAGCTACCCCAAGCAGCCACTGCTGACCAACCTACCTCTCCCTCATTGCCTTTTTTCCCCCAGGCCATCAGAAATACTGGTGGTCCCTGGATCCCCTCCCTTTGGGATGCCTACAAAGGTAAAGAAAGCAGAGGGTCCCTAAAGTAGAGAATGCTGCGCTAAGCAAAAGTTTGAAACTACTGGAGGCTGAAAGTGGGTGGGAAAAGACCAGCTGGTAGAGCCTGGTTATAAATCAGAACCCAGTGAACTTGTTTTCCCAAATAACACCACCCACCACAGAAACTAAACTATGTGCCAGGCCAGGAGCAGGGACCCACCCCCTTACAATATTCCTAAGTCTGAGCGACAAGGGGTGAG